AGGTATGCTGCTGAAAACCTTGAAAGATAAGGCAAACCTTGATTCGGACGAAGATCCTAGGTTTCTGGCATGCCCAAGGGGCGCAACTCTGCACAGTGAATTGCAGTGCCTCAGATTTGACCTCCCATACCAAGGAAATTATATGTAACATACAAAGATCATATATATATCTATCCCAATTAACGTTTCTGCAACACTGAAAAGTATCCTTAGATCACAGTGAGTGAGTGAGTTGTGTTTAATGCCGCTTTTAACAGTATTCCAGTTATATCGCGGCGTGTCAGCTTTATGTGGGAGGAAAGCCCGAAGTGGTACAGGTCTCAGACGTTTACCAATTCGGTGAAACCCACGAGCACAGGTAGGGTGCTGACAAACCTAGAAACATAATCGGGGTGAACTGGGAATCAAACCCACAACCATTGGTTTCTGGGGTGCCCAAGGGACGCAAATCTTAGATCACAGTGATCATTCACAAAGTTATGATGACCTCCTGATAGTTTGGGGTGAGGTGAGGTGAGGTGAAACTGGGTTTAAGGTCGCGTCCAAGATTATTGCACTTATATAGCGACATGCATGCATGTGTGTGTGTGTGTGTGTGTGTGTGTGTGTGTGTGTGTGGCTGCTTGTACTAGTCCGGACTAATGCCGATTTATAGTGCTAGCTCACTCATACAATGCCGCAGTTTCAAATGAATACCCCACTCAGACACAGTATACTGACTCTGAGCCGACCAGTCATTGTTTTAGCCCCTTAAAGCCGAGTGCCAGACAGGGTAACAACAAGTACCATCTTTTAATGTCTTTTGGTATGACATGGCCGGGGATCGAACCCTGAACCTTCCACTCTCCGGGTGGATGCTCTACAACAAGACCACGGATATATGTCAACCCTTCTGTGGAATCGGATTTTCAGGCAGTGTTGTGGATATCTGGAGAAAATGAGTTTAATGCATCCATCAAGCTTCAACTTGCCATTTTGTATCATATACTACTTTTTCATCAACATTGCCACAATGAGCACTGCTTTTTACAATTTTTGTTTCATTTTTAATATAGATAATCCAAGGTTCATGTGAGCTTATGCCATGGTGCTCATTTTGACCTGATCTTGATGTCATATTTATCTATGTTACGTCACTTATATTGATTTTACACTGATTTCAAAATGATCTTATTTTGATATCATATTCATTTATAGATCTTAGAATTCAAATTGATCTTTTACTGATATTATAAGGGTAACACTATTTTTTCAGGGCATTATCATTTGCAGAAGCCTGAGGTCTTCCATTAACTGCCCGACGCTGGAGGGCAGTTGAAAAGACCGAGGGCTTCTGCAAATGATAATGCCCTGAAAAATAGCATTACCGTTATTATAGCTAAAATGGAGGTAATTTGTTATCAAATAAAAAGAAACAACAATATCGGTTTTGAAACATTTATTGCAATCAACATGAATGTCACTGACCCACTTTTACAAATATGGAAACGTCTCAGAAGAAACCAGATGACGTCACTATTGAACGTGACGTCACCTATCCCTATCCTATGACGTCACCTAACAACGGGCGTGATAATGGCCCGTCATCAAACAATATGAGGGCATTATCAAGTTACAGTGGCCCGCTCATTTCTGATAACATGCGGTTATCCACTTTAGCTATAATATGCCATAGCAATCATATTGACCTTAAGAATTAATATGTTGCTTATTTTTTTACCATCAGTATATGTCAAAATGTAAAAAAAGACATATCAGCCAAACCTGAAAGTTATACTTACATCAACAGGGGTATAATAACTACATATACAAAAGACAAAACTATGGTATATACAATGAAAAATGTCAACATGAGATAAACAGTTAACACAACAATTCAATACCGAATATTGGCTCCAGGCCTTTCAAGAAATATAACTTACCATAAACTGACCAGTAGAACCTTGTCTAGTAAACACTGGAAGAATAATTTCCAATAATATGGATATTTGTTACTGCCTGAATACAAGCATAACACCTTACTGAAATTGAAGCAGATAGACTTAAAACATATACTTGACAATAAACATGGGTCGTCAGTACACAATGGCTGAATATTCAACTCTTGTGAAACCCTTCTAGATAAAGAATGTTTGATGAATAAGTGAATTTATTTTTTTCCCTTGTCCACCAATCTTAAATACACTCATAAATAGAAAAAAACATAATGTAGAATCAAGTGGAATATTATTAGCTGACACATAAGACATTCTTTAAGAAAGACATACTTTTTTCAAGTTAACATTTATACAAAAGCCATACACCCCCCCCTCCCCCATGCCAACTCGAGGATATCGAATGGTTGGTCCCCAATATTATGAAATACAAGTAATATCATGCATATGGCTATTATTATTTGTTGTGAGCTAAACGTGTAAAGATATGGTTCAAAGTCCCATTCCACAAAGCGATTTTAGCGCTAGGGTGATTGTAACTCCCATACTTTCTACACAGTCTTAGAACCACTTCAGCTGCAAGTCTTGTCCAGCACAAAAACAGCCTTGAAACAAGTTGAAATACAAATATAACATGTTTATGATCTTACAAAATATAACCATATGCATCCATTAACTGTCTACTTGAACAAATTAGATATCAAATCTCAAAGTTACAGTATAAGTATGTACAATTTTCCATCATCCTGGCGTGAAATGAGAACACTATCAAAATAAACTTAAAATAAGTGTGTATATGATTTCTGACTAAAATGGGGTTAGGGAAAATACCTGCCTCTTCCACAGCAAATTGTTTAATACCAGGGCCCACTTGCACAAAGTGATCTTATAGCTACAGCTATTGCAAGTCTGATTTGTTTTGTTTTGTTTGTTTGTTTAACGCCTCACTTAGCAATATTCCAGCTATATGATGGCGGTCTGTAAATAATCCAGTCTAGACCAGACAATCCAGTGATTGATATCATGAGCATCGATCCATACAATTGGGGCACGGTGACATGCATCAACCAAGTCAGCGAACCTGACTTCCCAATCCCGTTAGTCGCCTCTTACAACAAGCATAGTCACCTTTTACGGCAAGCATGGGTTGCTGAAGACCTATTCCTCCCCGTATCTTAAGTAGGAGTAACAACAGTGTTAGCACTAAGATGGTTCCGTACATGTGGACCCAGATGGCTGTACCACAAAAAGAAATGAGCTAGAACTCATGTAAACAGTCTCAATAAGACAGTATTTACAGTTGACATTAAAGCAATACAGTGTATGTCCTATTCATAACGATTGGTTTCAAACTCTAATGTCTCCTGATAATTGACATATGTCAAAATGGGCACCATAAATGCTTGAAAACAAACTCTCAACATCAGGCCCACCAATGAAAACCAGCAGAGCGCTAACAAACTGTAGAATGTGTACACACTTTTAAGATAAATAGCCACACAATTACAAATTATCCCCATCGTAGTTTGCATTGTAACGATCAGAACCCAGCACATTTTCAATGGTACCAAACACAGTAAATTATGCAGACCACAACAAACTTCTTACTCATGCCTCGAGTGAGTGAGTGAGTGAGTGAGTGAGTGAGTGAGTGAATGAGTGAGTGAGTGAGTGAGTGTGGATTTACGCCGCTTTAAGCAATATTCCAGCAATATTACGGCGGGGAACACCAGAAATGGGCTTCACACATTGTACCCATGTCAGGAATCGAACCCGGGTCTTCAGCGTGACGAGCGAACGCTTTAACCACTAGGCTACCCAACGGCCCCACTCATGCATAGACCTGCTACAGAACTTGCTGGCTGTCAACAAGCATCTGGAAGAAAAAAATGCAGTGGATGGGTTTTTTTTCCCAGTTATTTATCACAAGTTCAACATACCTTATAAAATAATGTCATAAATGACACTCACTGTATTCGTTCCTTCTAGAAGTTTATTGACATCCAGCAAGTTCTGGATCAGATCTTTACGGGAATTGTGTCTTTGCAATTTGTGCAGCTATTTCTATTATTAGTGTGCACATATACAAAAGTTTGGTAACTCTCTGCTTGTTTTCTTTGGTAGGTATGATATTACATCAGCACAGACCACATCAGTTTCATCTGAAGAAAGAGTGAGTGAGTATGGTTTTACGCCGCTTTTAGCAATATTCCAGCAATATCATGGCAGGGGACACCAGAAATGGGCTTCACACATTGTACCCATGTCGGGAATCGAACCCGGGTCTTCTAACATTTTTAGTCCACTAGTTTATATGATGATGCCATCTTTCAAAAAACTTAAAAATGGCCAATTACCTCTAGTCCTTATGATACCTTAACTATTGGGCAGTTTGGCAAGGACTACAGGACTAGTGCCAATTTCTAATGCTGCCCCCCGTAAAGGTTTGAAGGATAAGGTTGGATGATAAATAAAATCTCACCCTCATGTCTTTTGATATCAAATATATCAACACTCGTTGATATATTTGATATCAAATAACACTTGGATGAGATTTTCTATATATTGCACCTACCGTACTCGACGTAATAAGCGCCCACAGAGATATTTGCTAATATATTGGCTAGTGAACAATCCTAATTAGCACCCCTTCTGATTGATCAATGTACACACGACTTATTTATTTGTCTATTATATGCACTCGTGTATTATATGCCCCTCTGAAGAAAGAATGCATGTCAATTGCAAAAGTTCTTTTTCAGTGCACATTTTGAGTGAATCCGCTATGCATATTTACAGTGTGCACCCCAATTGTTACATTGAGACCTCAATAAATGCAAAAACTATTGAAGTAAGTTCTTAATAAAGGGATCATAACAGTCCTATGATTTGTAAAGCATTTATGAAATGTGTCTCTCTGTATATCTACAAGAGTGAGTGAGTTGGGTTCAACGCCACTTTTAACAGTATTCCAGTTATATCACGGCCCGAAGTGATGCAGGTCTCAGACGTTTACCACTTCGGTGAAACCCACGAGCAGGGGTATGGTGCTGACAAACCTAGAAACATAATCGGGGCGAACCGGGATTCGAACCCACAATCATAGGTTACTGGCATGCCCAAGGGACGCAACTCTGCACAGCAAATCGCAGCACCTTAGATGACTGGGCCACCCGTGCCCCCGTATATCTACAAGAAATGTGCCACAACACTGTGTGTTTTGACATGGGCTAGGAGATCGTCCTTTGTTATGAAGGATGACTCACAGAAACTACAGTCAAATGAGGCTTTCTCTTTGTGTTCATATTTCATGTGATTGACCAGATCTACTTTGTATTCATATCTTTTTGCACACTGCCTACACTTCCATCTATGGACGATCTTGATCTTTGCCTCTTTCAGTTTGTCATGCACAGGCATGTGAGCTTTCAGTGCTTGCGCTGTCAGGAAACGGCATTTACAGAAGTCGCAGACAAACTGGGCATTAGTGAAATGCTTATCTGCAAGGTGAACCTTCAGCTCAGCAACTTTAGAAAATGAACACAAACAGATGCCACACTTGCACGGCTCAAAGGGATCACCCATATGTCTTTTCATGTGGTGTCCGAGTTCAATTTGACTTTTGAGTTCTTCGCCACACATTCCACATTCAAACACCGTGTCCGCCTCAATGTCGCCATGTGTTTTGAGATGTTCTTTTAGACCTTTGTCATCCTTAAACTCTTCCTCACAGAAGCTACAAGTGAAGAGCACCTGGGTCTTTGGATTTGGATCGGAGTGGTTGAGCAGGTGGCACTCCAAATCTGTGTACCGAAGATACGAGTTGTCACAGATTCCACACATGAAAGGCTTCTCTTTGTGGTGGGACTTTACGTGACCCTGTAAACTAGCTTGGCGAGAAAACTCCTCATGGCATAAGTCGCACCTGTAGGGTCCATCGTTGGGGGGACTGAGAGTAGATGAGGACTTGGAAGATGATCTTTCCACCTTCACACTGGTTTGAGAAGCAGCTTCAGATGCCTGACCAGTCTTCTCTGGAGCAGGAACTAGAGTCAGAGCATTTGTTGGTTTGTCAGTGAAGACTGGTTTGTTCACTGCAACAAACTGCTTGATCTGAATTGTTTTGGACTGGGGGACTGCAGGGCCAAGTTTTGACATTGTTGAGGCAGACACCATTGTGACAGGTCTTGGTGGAGAAGTCGTGTCATACTTAATATTTTTCTCACTGGAAGAACGAGTTCTGGAGGATGGTGGAGTGGCTGCTGATGAGGAAAATGTAGACTTTGATGATGCAGTAAATGTTGATGTAGATGTTGATGACGTAGAAGATGATGGGGATTTAGCTGATGACGTCGAAGGTGCTGCAGGCTTAGCTGATTTTGTTCGTGATGGTGTGGCAACAAAGGCTGAAGCTGGGAGTTTGACTTTAACTACTGAAGCCTGGGGCGATGAATAATCAGCACTGCTACCAGGCAGCCCACTGAGGGACAGGTGATGGAGCTTCAGGTGAGTTGTCAGAGCATGCTTGTGGAGATACTCCTTGCCACACATCTTGCACTTGAAGCCTTCAAAATCGGCATCAACAATACCTGATGTGCCATCTTCACAAATTCGGATCTTTTTTGCAGGGGGCTCAGCACTCTCAGACTGTGCACTGTTTTTTGGTAGTGAAGGCTGTGATTTACCCGCAACTACCTTTTCTTTTGGTTTTACAACTTCTTTTCCCACTTTCTCAACCTGATCTTTTTTCCCTTCCACACTTTTAGCCACTTGCTCTGACGAACTCTCTCCATTTTTCATCATATTTGCAAACATTAATATTTTACCAAGATTTGACGCTGGCAAGGCACCTTCAGCCGACTTGGATTCAACCCGCCACTCTTTCAGTTTCCCCGCCACATCGAAGACTATCTTGATGGTACTTGATTTCTCTGCCTTTGCTTTGGTGCCAATATCTGCTGCAGCTTTGAACAAAGCTTTAGCAGCATCAGAAGACACCACCAAGTTCTTTGCCCTCTCACGATCCTCATCCGCATTTCCATTCGTAGTTTTACTGACAACCCTATCAGAGGCATTGGAAACAGGTTCATCAGAATTGCTTGAATTCTCTACCTTGATAGGGATCTGTTCAGAATCATTGTTAGTGCTTTCTCCAGCACTTACTGTTGTAGGTCTACTGTCACCTTCTGCAATTTTCTCCTCCTTAATCTTAACCTTGAGAGAGAATTTTTGGGGTACAGCTTTGGAACTGTGACATTTTTCAGAAGTCTCAGCATCATCATCCTCATCACACAGTCCAATCAAAGCGGACCTGAGTAAAGATCCTGCATCTTTTTCCGACTTGATTTTGACCCGACTTCCGCCAAAGCCAGATTTGTTTAATGAGCTTGTCCGAGATTCGCTTATGTCATCAAGTTCGTCATCTTCTTCTTCCTGCTTAACAATAATTACCTCCCCTTCTTCAGTCTCCAGCTTCATGGCGTAAGGCCCACCTGACTGGCTGGCATCTTGACCGGTGTCCGTCAATCCTGGTTCCAGCTTGATCTTTACTTTCTCCATCTCCACTGCCTCAGTTTGACACCTAGAACATACAATAACATGAGTGAAAAGTTTTGCTCATTTAATGTTTGTTTGTTTGTTTGTTTGTTGGTTAACACCGCACTCAGCAATATTCCAGCTATATGACGGCGGTCTGTTAATAATCGAGTCTGGACCAGACAATCCAGTGATTAATATCATGAGCATCGATCCACGCGATTGGGATTGATGACATGCATCAACCAAGTCAGCGAGCCTGACCACCCGTTCCCGATAGTCGCCTTTTACGACAAGCAGAGTCACCTTTTACAGAAAGCATGGGTTGCTGAAGACCTATTTTACCCCGGAATCTTTACGGGTCTGCTCATTTAATGAGGTGAGACGACATGTTGCATTCAAGAATATTGCATTTATATGACCAAGTGCATGACTAATGCCAGTTTAAAGTGCTAGCCCTCTGAGACACTATGCCACAGCTTAACATTAATACCCCACTCAGTACCCCACCCCAGAAACAGTACTGACATGTACCAACTTTTCACATCATTTGGTATGACAAGGCCTGGGGGTTCGAACCACAGACCTGCCACTCTCCGAGCAAACACTCTATCCACAAGACCACAGAGGCGGTCACAGATTAAACAAGTACTGTAATGATTTAACAAAGTATCAGACAGCTAATCATGATTATTGGAATCTTATCCTGCAGCAATGTTTGTTGTTTAATGATGCACTCCACACTATTGAAGCTTAATCAGTGGTAGAAACTAAGTTTCAGTCCACAAGAGTGAGTGAGTGAGTTGGGTTTAACACCACTTTTAACAGTATTCCAGTTATATCATGGCGTGTCAGCTTAATGTGGGAGGAAAGCCCGAAGTGATGCAGGTCTCAGACGTTTACCACTTCGGTGAAACCCACGAGCATGGGTATGGTGCTGACAAACCTAGAAACATAATCGGGGCGAACCGGGATTTGAACCCACAATCATAGGTTTCTGGCGTGCCAAAGGGACGCAACTCTGCACAGCGAATCACGGTGCATTAGACGACTGGGCCACCCGTGCCCCCTCAGTCCACAAGACCTTATAATGATAACATATAGAAAAACCCTTAAAAATGGCAAATTTCTACTAGTCCTTATGATACCTTAACTATTGGGAAGTTTGGCAAGGACTACAGGACTAGTGCCAATTTCTACCACTATTAAGGACGGCAGGCTGTAACTAATCGAATCTGGACCAGACAAACCAGTGATTGTTTTAATCAACATCCCACATTATCAGGTTAGCCTGAAAAGCCCGACCCCCCATTCCAATTAGTCGGCTGTTTTGACCAGGGCTGGGGAATTATTCTAATCTGGAATCCCTATGTGGTGTATCGATACTAAGCCATAAGACCATAAAAATTGAGGATGGATGCAAATAATTAAAACTGTGAGTGAGTGAGTGAGCATGGTGAGTGAGTGAGCATGGTGAGTGAGTAAGTGAGATTTGGGTATAACAAATTCAAGTTATATCGCGGCGTGTCAGCTTTATGCGGAGGAAAGCCCAAAGTGATACAGGTCTCAGACGTTTAACACTTCAGTGAAACCCACGAGCACGGGTATGGTGCCGACAAACCTAGAAACATAATCAGGGCGAACCGGGATTCCAACCCACAATCATAGGTTTCTGGTGTGCCAAAAGGGATGCAACTCTGCACAGCTAATCGAGGCCCCTGAGACAACTGGGCCACCAGTGCCCTCTTAAAACTGTGAGTCCTGAGAGAAGTTAAAAGGCATGGCTGTTTGAATAATTAATACAAGACTGCATGTTAAATATTACAATTCTATTCTGGCAAGAAATACTCTTAATTGGCATTTGAGCATGTGCACTGATATGACATTCAATAAAATCCATTTTACATCTATTCTGGCAAGAAATACACTTGATTGTCTAGGGCTGATTTTTTTTAATGTGTCATAGCGACTGATTTGGGGCAACCATTGTCTGAAGAACATTTGATTCTAAAGGCTAATTAACCTGCTGCCATGACATGTATATGTCTCTATAACTTAATTGCCATTATTTATGAGATGCTAATCCCCATAGTTAATCCTCACCCACATTTCATTGTATATTGACTGTCAGCCAACCTTGGCTACTATATCACTTCCCGCTAATTACTGTTATTTATAGTATGACATTTATTGCCTTAATTGTTCATCCCCTGAGCTGTGTCAGTTAACCACCCCCAGAAGTCCCATGTCCAGAGCAACGTTTTGGAGTATACTCAAACGTACCCATAGTCTCAAAACTATCCCTTCACACTTAAAGGGGCACTAATCTCAGGCTTCTTCTCAGTTGTCTGACACTGCCTACAAGGGCTCACTAGCTGCCGTGAGCCGATTTGCTCACTGAGCATGACAAGAGACTGGGCTACCGTCTGTAAGGACAGCTAAAATAAACTTTGAGGCAATATTTATACGCATTTCTGAACACTGATTGGTTACCCTAGATCTATGATGATTTTGATATTAGAAAGGGCACATGCTAATTATTTTCTTCAACCTAAACAGACAAAAAGAACAGTGGAAGTTCATCGGATGTTGTTATTTGGAAATACCCCTGATGGTTAATAAAAATAAGTATCCATACAGTGAAAACATTTTCGGATTTAGAATTGCGTGGGTAATACGATTACTACTCCCTTCTTGTCATCCATGTTTTTTGGTATAACCCTACACCTCTGCATTTGTCGTCATTCACTTGCTCCGTTAATGAATTTAATACAGGTATAATTAGTGGTAGAACCACTCAGATTACCTGATAAAGGTTCCCATTTGGCATTTCTTGTGTCTGGGGTAATTATTCAAATTTACAATCTAAATCCAAGTTTAAATGTGATATAAAAACCAAGTGTCTTTATACAGAAGCAAACGTACGGGATATTTCCCTTTATGTGGATATTCCTTGATGCATTCCTCGAACAAGGTAATTGCCTAATATTAAACATATAGCTTTGGTCAGCTGTAATTCAGATATTTGCATTTTGTTTTCATTCATTTGCTGTAGCATTGAACAGAATAAGTCTTGTTCCTCTACGTTTTTGTTAGGAAGTTCTTCAATGCAAGACAGTTAACATTAAGTTGTTGTTTTCACAAGCATTTTCGTTGTAGGCATGTATACATTACAGTTAATGTGTAAAATGTGATTCACCCAGGCAATTTATAAAATGTTGAAATATTTCAGTCATTTAATAAAATGACAGACAAATCTGTCCATTCATTTTACAGATTGACTAAACATTTTTAAGACATTCAAAAGGATACATCACAATAGACTTATTATGCTTGGATAATTTTCACTTTCGCATTCATTCATTTTCAGTCGCAGGGTGATGAAATTCTACATAAAAAATTTCGAATTTGTTATCATAATAAAATAAATGGACAGATTTTTCAGTCAATTTGTAAAATAACTGAATATTTAGGAGTTTAATAAATTGCCTAAGTGAAAATTTTAGTCATTTTACACATTGACAATAACATATGTATACACACAATGGCATAAACAATGCTCAGGTGAAAAATGTAAGTCAAAATTGTGTAAACGAAAATCGCACAATACCAAGCAAGTGACTTATCAAAACTTCATCACTATTACAGATGCTACCCCAAAAGATACCTTCATTTCCTTAGTATTTCCAAGACAAAACAGTATTACATTTTGTGGATCAATTTAAAGATACACCCTTATACTGTCAATAAAAGCGACAAATTCGCTTACTGTTGGTGCAGTACAGGTCGCAAACTAGTTGAGATACGTGGGATATCATGTGGGTTCTCACAGGAAAAAAAACAATAACAAGGGCAACACCCAGTCACGGGGGATTCCTGTAGATCAGTGCCCCTTTAACTGTACTCCCTCGTGATGTCTAAAAGAGGCACTAATCTCTGGCTTCTTCTCGGCTGTCTAACACTGCCTGCTAGGGTTCACTAGCTGCCTGAGTCGATTAGTTCGCTAACGCAACTGAGCGTGACAAGAGACTGGGATACCGTCTGCAAGGACAGCTACATAAACTTGGAGGCAATATTTGTTTTACGCATTTTTGAACACTGATTGGTTACCCGTGATCTATGAAAACTTCGACTAAGGGCGCATGTTAATTAATTTCTTCAGCCTAAACAATTTGGAAATATCCCATATGGTTATAGTTTAATAATTAAAAAAAAGCATCCCAGCAGTGAAAGCATTTTCGGATTGCGTGGATAATACAATTACTACTCCCTTGTAGTCATCCATGTTTTCTGGTGTAACCCCTACACTTGTGTATTTTTTATCATTCACTTGATGCTCAGTTACTGAATTTATTACAGGTATAATTAGTGGTAGCACCATTGATTAAGACGTTCTATAGGGCTTAAAAACATCACAATAGATTTAATGTTAGGATTAGAAGCCAAACAATATAGAAATGTACTTTTAATCCTAACATTTTCAGTCACAATAACTAGGTGTTTAATAAATTTCTTACTGAATTTTTTTTTACACATTTTGACTGTAAAAATATACACAATAAAATAAGCAATGCTCAGGTGAAATATTTACTTGGTGTTGCAAGTCAAAATAGTGAAAACCAAAAACTGCACAAATACCAAGCAAGTGACTTATTAAAACTTTGTCACCATTACTGATGCTACCCACATAGATACCTTCATTTCCTTATTATTTCCAAAACTGTATTTCATTTTGTTGATCAATTTGACCATACGCCCATATACTATCAATAAAAGTGACAAATGCGCTTACGAATTGCGCAGCACAGGTCGCGAACTAGTCTACATTTTTGCTATATCATCCGGGTACTCACAGGGGAAAAAACAATAACAAAGGCAACAACCAGTCCCGGGGAATTGCTTTAGATCAGTGCCCCTTTAAAAAATCTCGTGAGAAGTTATTGCCATGTACAGTTAAGTTTTGAGACAGGTACAAAGGAGTGGGGCAACAACGACCCCATTAACTTAAATTTCACCTTCTGATTATAGTGTTGCGTGTCCTGTTGCCAAACAAATGACCATATTTGTTTCAATATGCTGTACCTTTATACAGTATACTACGGTTCTAAATGAACTAAAAGGGACTGCTTATTTTAGTTCATTATAACCGAAGTTCATTATAAGCCAGCGTTAAAAATTGGCACTAGTCCTGTAGTCCTTGCCAAAGTGGCCAATAGGGGAAGGTATCATGAGGACTACTGGTAGTAGAAATTTGCCCTTTTTAAGGGTTTTGCAATATGTTATCATTATAAGGACTCGTGGACTAAAACTGTTAGTTTCTACCGCTGTATAAGCATATATACAGCAAATAGCAAGGACACAAAAAAGTTCATTATATCTGTCAGTTCGTTTCAAGCCGGTTCGTTATAAACGTAGTTGACTGTACTTATAAATGTCCATTGAAATGTAAAGAAATATCTCATGATCACTGAGTTACAATCACCAAAGTAATGAGCATCAATCATAAATATTAGAAATGGTACAATTTCAGTGAACAAGAGCAATATGATCCACTGATAAAAAACAAATAATTTTTAATGTCATGAGCTAAAGGTTATTCATTTTGTTCACAAATGGGAGCACAAATATATTAAAATATTTCTGACAAGGTTTTAACTCAACTGGTGTCCCTTACTGGTTAAAAAGAAAACCTAAACACATGTAGGCCTACAACTTGTGATTTTGACCCAACATTACAACACACATGTTAGAGCGTCTACAGCCTCGGTTTCATTTTGCTTCCGCCATGAATGATTCGTTTTGGTGGTGTTTACTTCGCTTCGCATATGTTTTTTAAGAAACGGCGTTAACAAGGACACATTCCTAATGAATACCTATAATCTTTGGCTGAGATAGGGGTTCATACATACCACACACTACACAATCAGGCTTCTATTCGGTGATTGATAGTAGCGAGTTACAGAACCTGTTTCAGAACGTCATGGCGGTAACCTACGAGTATGAGAGTTACCTCCCTTGATGACTCCAGGGATCGTCTCAACATTTCAATATTGATTAATCAGATTGAACAATGAGGTCAACATGATGTCTTACTTCGGGACATGCCATTGAACGGTTGAACAAATAAACATTGCATCTTGTATCTCGAATGTTAATGTCTTGTTCCGGATGATTAGAATCATTCATTTGAAACAGTAGACGACATTATCTAATGTGTTGGTGATTTCTTAATAAAATATATTTTTTTTATTTCTTTAACAAAGAAGTTCGCTCTGCCAGGCATATCCTTCAAACTATGCGTGTGGATCAACAAAATCGGCCAGTTCCAACAATAAAAAGTTAATTAGTAACTACTTTTTAAAATTAAAAAACACCAGAGAAGCAAGACTGTTCTCTACCGTACTGCTTCACAAATACTACGCCAGGGTAATATTTAGAATATACATATATAGATAAAACCGTTTCAACATGGCCAATATCAACGAAATATTTACATAATATGAATTGTATATCCCTAATCCTGCATCATGTCTCTAGAGTATCAGTATTTATTTTCATCAAAACCATATTTTCTTATAAAAAGGGCAAGTCTGGTTAGGTGTATTTCACATAAATGAAATCGGCGTTAGAAGAAAAACAATTAGAAGAGCGATAATTATTGCGTAAAAACAGATGATGTAGACTTTATTCTAGTCTTGTACGCAAGACAACGATGACTGCTAATTTAGTATCCATAAACTAATTGATTTTCAAACAATCGACTGTCGAAAATCGAAGGCCCACACCTGCAAAGGTAATCTATATCAGTCTGCGCGGACCGCTGTTCTGATATTTTCACACACTTGAGCCTAGATCACCGCACAAGTTGGGTTTTTTTCATAAATGCGTTTTCTGAATATAGAGTTTTACTTGGTTGATATGATAAATTAATATTAACATAATATTAATAGTCAGAGCATGAATATTCCTATCTGTAGCGGTTATCAGATGACCCAGCGCTCCGAAATATATGCACAGTTGAACCCTCTGAGACAACCCCCGGGCTTTGATTGTGGCCTGGATATGGAATCGATAGCGAAATCCGTTGCTTTGTGCTGGGTTAGCGCTGTAGGAGTTACCGCCCTTGCATAAGCTATGCGCGTTCCCCAGTGTGGTGTGGAGGGTCGGGGAGAGGCTTTAGCTCGCCACTGCTATCACCGCTCTAAACTGCTAGCCCATACCCTTAGATGGTGGTTGGCCTGTAGGTATACCGTCGTCATTGTGTGTGAACGGAGGCTTGACGCGATACACGAGTCTCGTCGTAACCCCAGGAGTTCGTAACTCGAACCAAACAGAAAATTTCGTATAATGCCTTGAGTACCTAAAACTAAAAAATCCGGAAGTAATATTTAGGCATTGAAAATGGCACCAAGCTTGACAATTGTTTTTTTGCTTTTTTGTGTACATATTTTGGAGATTGTTTAATTATTGTGTTGTTTATTGGTGCATAGATAATTATTGGACTATTGGAAAGGTAAAAGCACGAAACTGAATTAAATATTAATTTCGTTTGCAGCAAATATAAATCAGCCGAAAATATTATATCTTTCTGGTCATTTTGTAACCGTCATATTTTCAATAACTTGATTTAGGGATCTGCCGACCACAAAATTTAAGAAAATGTGGAGTAACATTAATATAGTTATTTTTCTGCCCATCGACTGTAATTTTATATGTAAAGGATTAAACGTGACTCCGAGGTTTTGGTTGAAAATGTAAAACCGCAAGGGAGGTTTTGCATTTTCAACCAAAACACAGGAATGTTTTATCCAACTTATGAACCGTCCAAATGCAAGAAATACCATAAAAAATAAGAAAACATCGAGATAGCTCATAGTGAACAATACATGTGGTGTGTCGCGGTATGAAAGAATTCAATAAACCGTGCGAGAGAAAAAAAACAACACGTGCAGCATGGACCAACTGGAGTCATGACATGTCAAATTGAACAACCTTTAACCACCTACTCCGTGGCTCAGTGGGGATAATAATGGGTTACAAATCTACTGACGATATGTGTGGGTATTGCAGGTTCGATTCACGTGGAAGTTTCATGTATAAAATGGGACGTTTAACCAATCAAAAATAATTATATTCCCATCAAAATGCCAGTTGAAAAAAACGTCAATTGTAAAACCTCAAAATTACTATTGAAATGTAAAACCTCAAAGCAGGTTTAGACGTGACCCATTTCAAAACCGACGCCTGAAGATGAGCTTGTTAATGATATACTTCCATTTATCCGAGGTTGTCAGGAACCTAACGCAATATAATTTAATACAGTGACACGTTTATGATAGTGACAAATACTTCCGTTGATGCTCAAGATCTCAAACACTAGATTGTCAGGTCCAGACTCGATTATATACAGACCGCCGTCTTATAGCTGGAATATTGCTAAGAGCGGCCCCCTCACGTTATAAATAACAACCAAACAAACAAAACGTGACCGACAATATTTATAAGGGCTCAGTTTACAAACAATAATATTTCCTTATACTTTTTATCAACCCATCCTTTGTTGCTAATAAAACCAAATTATTATAAAAACGAGACAATGGGTACAAATTTTTTAATTGTTTATTTGTTGTTTAACGCCGCATTTAGCAATATCCCTGCTGTATGACGGCGGTCTGTAAAAAATCAAATCTGGACCAGACAATTCAGTGATTTATACCATGCCCATTGATCTCCGCAATTGGGATACAATGACATGTATCAATTAAGTTAGCGAGCCTGACCAACCAATCCCGCTAGTCGCCTCTTATACAAGCATGGGTTGCTGAAGACCTATTCTCACTCGGAACCTTAAGCTTGCGGTAGATACCAGACTGGAGGAAAACATTGAGCGAATTGATATCATTGTGTCATTGAATCATGGATCAGTACCTTGCCATGTATCGGTCAAGAGGAAACTTCCTGTAAATGAGTGATATCAAGACACTTTTATTTACTGATTATAATGTTCAAACATTTCAAAACAGCTGCTTTATCTAAATAGATTTCACGTATCGGCGTGGTTCACGCATGCATGCCTTTTGATTACTGTCATGCTTGTCAAGTTGTTGAAAAATATTAGGAGTATCGTGTGCAAAACTGGTTATTGATTGTGTCTGTCATTGCCTGGATGTTATGACAGTAACTTTTTCCTTGTAGGCCACTTTTCACGAATTATATGTTTGTGGAGTCGCTTGTGAACTTGAAAGAAATTATTGAGAATAGTTATGTTTATTAGCACAAATTAACTAAAAAACAAAAACATAAGTCAACCCGTTAAGGATTCATCTTGGTTACTCAAACCTGTATACTATCCAAAATGCGTAAGTTTTCTTCCTCGCGATACGGGATTTGCCATCATTCTCACAGCCATTGGATGGTCTTATTTGTTATACAGGGCAAGCGTGCAATCAGTGGTGCACTTGTGCCTAATCCCTTTGTCTTTTTGGACAATAAAATATATAAAGAAAAATACACGGGGCATGAATTGTACCCGGATTAGAACTACCAGGGGAGATAACCACTAAGACGTCACGTCATTCGTGACCAACTCGTGTTATTCCGGGACAAGCTTCTTGCAGGTTACGGAAACGGTCGAGTGGTGACGAATGACGTCACGTGGATGACTGATAAACTGCCGCGGCTGGTGTCATATGTCACGAGGATGATAACTTCCGTGTTTTAATGGCATGTAAGCTGTATGAAACTGTACCACTTGATTGCTTCCCGTATTATGTATGTTATATCGTACATTAAAAAACATCTATTCAAATAAGGTGCTGAACTGATATTGACATGGTGCTGTGTCTTGGGCGTTGCCTTTGTTAGGTACAAAAGATACAATTTTTTCCATTATCTCTGTAAATGGCATGTTTATTCAAACGTCTATTATTACTATCATGATTGTAATTTGTAAAAAATAAAACCGAATCCATAATAGCTGTTTCATTACCAAGCATGCATACTAAGCTACTGTAATATGTATTTTAGGCCGGTGACCTAAAAATACTGAAAACAATATGCGTGTCTGTCTGTCTGCCTGTCTGTCTGTCATTTAAATATATTTATTCATTCTCTGGCGTCGAATTGAGATGGAAATGATATGAACCCGATGATTAGAAGTTTGTGTGTTCTGTAAAATGATTAATACTGTAGTCGCTACTTTATTGTTTGATTTTACTGTAATCGTCAATAACATTTTGTGGCCTTACATTTTAAATACAACACGGGTTATGGTTAAATACCGGAATTGTCACTTCGCAATCACTCAATATCATTTCCTGCTGAATGTGTTACAGTAACCGCTCCCAGCCCATTGCCCTTTCCAATTCCTTGCATTGTTTCTTCAGCGGACAACAAATAATTCATAAATTCAGAATCATCGTTTTCTTCACTGGTGCATAATTATCGTATGTTTTGTTATTGACATCAACTCTAGATATCTAGAGAGTGGTTTTACGGGTCACAGATCATTTTAATACAGATTGTTTGTTTGTTTGTTTGTTATTTAACGCCGCACTCAGCAATATTCCAGCCATATGACGGCGGTCTGTAAATAATCCAGTCTGGACCAGATAATCCAGTGATTGACATCATGAGCATCGATCCACGTTGTTGGGATACAATGACATGTATCAACCAAGTCAGCGAGCCTGACAGGCATGGTCGCCCTTTAAGGCAAGCATGGGTTGCTGGAGACCTGTCCTCCCCCGGATCTTCACGGGTCGGATGTGAAAGAGGTTGTTCCTGTCTATGCTTGTAAACGATTTTTGGAGGTGTTAAATTATCAACATGGAACCATGTGGTCTATGGAGAACTTACGAAATACCCATTATTTGTGATACCGTATATAATTGCATGTTAACCATGTTAGATACTGTAGTACGTAGTTGGACATTCCCCCACAGGCAACTCAAAGTAACGTGACCAATTGGACCATATAACAAGAATAATATGGATGGATATTGAATTGATTAGTCAGGCAAACGAAACATCCTCTGTGGTAACGTGACCGTCCAGACAGCGCTAAAGCGGTGATAGTGGTGCGGCAAGCAAGGAGGAAGATTGTACGTACGAGGAAGTGTTTCAACTATTTACACTGGCGCACATGTCAAGTGTCCCACGCTCGTGACTCGTCCTAGCTAGACCATGAACTTTATTACCCGACTCTGTTACACACATCCCAGCACTGCCATGTCTGGTCGGCCGAGCCTGGATAATAGTTCGCTTCATACTCGGTCTGCCTTCAAGTGTTAACCTGCCAACTGTTAAGTGTTATTTATGTGGTCTATTCAGCATTATTCCCGTGAACCACTAAGCGTTATTTCTGTGAACTGTTCAGTGTTATTCCTGTGAGATGTTCAGTGTTATTCCCGTGAACTACTCAGCGTTATTTCTGTGAACTGTTCAGTGTTATTCCTGTGAGATGTTCAGCGTTAATCCCGTGGAAAGTTGTGAATTAGTCGCATGACTTAAACAGCTTCATTCCCGTGAACTGTTCAACGTTATACCTGTGAACAGTTCAACTTTATACCTGTGAACTGTTCAACTTTATACCTGTGAACTGTTCAATGTTATACCTGTGAACTGTTCTACTTTATACCTGTGAATTGTTCAACGTTATATCTGTGAACTGTTCAACTTTATACCTGTGAACTGTTCAATGTTATACCTGTGAACTGTTCTACTTTATACCTGTGAATTGTTCAACTTTATACCTGTGAACTGATCAACTTTATACCTGTGAACTGATCAACTTTAGTCCTGTGAACTGTTCAGCTTTATACCTGTGAACTGTTCAACGTTATACCTGTGAACTGTTCAACTTTATACCTGTGAACTGTTCCGCGTTATTCCCCTACACTGTTCTGCATCATCCAACCGATGTTCTGCATTCTTCGTTGTAATTACCTGAGATGCTTCACTGGCCGTTCTAGTCCATATTGGCAGTCAGCGTCTGTGTGCCAGCTACTCATTGGACTTCATGGATTTGTAAGGTTTTCTGCCAAACACGTTCAAGGATTCTCATCACCTGAACGCCGCCAACAAATACGTTCAAGGATTCTCATCACCTGAACGCCGCCAACAAACACGTTCAATGATTCTCATCACCTGACCGCCGCCAACAAACACGTTCAAGGATTCTCATCACCTGAACGCCGCCAACAAACACGTTCAAGGATTCTCATCACCTGAACGCCGCCAACAAACACGTTCAAGGATTCTCATCACCTGAACGCCGCCAACAAACACGTTCAAGGATTCTCATCACCTGAACGCCGCCAACAAACACGTTCAAGGATTCTCATCACCTGAACACCGCCACTAAGCACGTTCAAGGATTCTCATCACTTGAACACCGCCAACAAACACGTTCAAAGATTCTCATCACCTGAACGCCGCCAACAAACACGTTCAAGGAATCTCATCACCTGAACGCCGCCAACAAACACGTTCAAGGATTCTCATCACCTGAACGCCGCCAACAAACACGTTCAAGGATTCTCATCACCTGAACGCCGCCAACAAACACGTTCAAGGATTCTCATCACCTGAACACCGCCAACAAACACGTTCAAGGATTCTAATCACCTGAACGCCGCCAACAAACACGTTCAAGGATTCTCATACCCTGAACACCGCCAACAAACACGTTCAAGGATTCTCATGACCTGAACACTGCCAACAAACACGTTCAAGGATTCTCATCACCTGAACGCCGCCAACAAACACGTTCAAGGATTCTCATCACCTGAACACCGCCACTAAGCACGTTCAAGGATTCTCATCACTTGAACACCGCCAACAAACACGTTCAAAGATTCTCATCACCTGAACGCCGCCAACAAACACGTTCAATGAATCTCATCAACTGAACGCCGCCAACAAACACGTTCAAGGATTCTCATCACCTGAACGCCGCCAACAAACACGTTCAAGGATTCTCATCACCTGAACGCCGCCAACAAACACGTTCAAGGATTCTCATCACCCGAACACCGCTAACAAACACGTTCAAGGATACTCATCACCTGAACACCGCCAACAAACACGTCCAAGTATTCTCGTCACCTGAACGCCGCTTCTTTCCTGTTACCATGTGAACGAAACATGAACAGGTGTTAGTCCTCAAAATAGGTATCATAAAATAAACCGCCGTTCACAGGATCCTGGTACAACTAGGAGACGCAACTCATCACAGCGAATTCCGGCGCCTTACACGACTGAGTCATTCGTGCCCTCCTCTTGCTGTCAAAGGTGGATTGACTTGTTGGTGTTATAAAAATACAACTGTTGACTCCTAGATGATGCTAGACCACAACACCATATTTGTAACCCCATGCTGTGCCTTGTCACCCGATTGACAGATTACATACAAGTTTGTGTTTGTGTTTGTTTCGCGTGTATAAGACAACGGATCGCCGTGGACACGTAACAGAAAACGGTAACAGAAAAGGCCTACTTTTAAGTAAGCTTTGAACATTTGCATGACAATTAATCCTTTTGAAAAGTAGACACCCTTTGACCTAGGTGCAAAGCATCAGTAACATAGTGGATCTTTTCACCTTTGACAAATGCATGCCTTTCAGTATCTTATCGTTTTTGAAAATGTATACAGCTGCTATCGCCTTGGCCAACCCGCAACGGCACAGCATTATCTGCTAGTTCAGTAGTGGACACTGTGAGTGCTTACGTGTGGAGAGAAGTTAAAGAAGGATTGTTTCATATCGCATACACCCGTTACTTATGATATGTTTACAAATATCAACAACGCTGGCTTTAAGATACAGCTTTTAACACTGTCCGTACCCCAGTGGTTAGGATACGTTCATTAAGAGAAGCGCGAACTGCCTTCCCGTGCATAGTGAGATTGACAGTAGACTTAATTCAACATGTCACCCATAGAGCGTTTGCTTCTTCTAACGGTGATCAGTTCCACGTGTTTATATGCACAGTGTGAACACAGATACAGGCCATGCTTTGAAAAGATGTGTTGGTGCCAAGACTTGATCGCTAACTGTAGCGATAATGGAAGGTTACTTAAAATAATACCGAACATAAACACAAAAGACATCCACAGGTTCTACTTCACCCATAACTACCTGCCTCGCATTACCGTAAAAACATTTGTACCCGTCAAGAAGTTTCATATCACATTACTAGATTTAAGCGGTAATGAGATTCGGTCAATCGCCCAAAACGGATTCTCTCCATTGAAACGAATGACGACCCTTCACCTCAGTAACAACACAATCCCTCCAAAGACACTCGAGACTGCCTTGCGGCAACTGCCAGGTCAGTTCAGCTACTTGTATTTAAACCACATGAACCTGTATAACATCTCATCGACTCTGTTCAGTGGTCTTAAGTTCACCATGGTCATGGGCATACACTTGTCCTCCAACAGACTGACAGAGGTCAGCATGGCACCGTTCAAGCAGCTGAAACATATCTCCACTATCACATTGAAATTTAATGATATCCGTAGTTTGGAAGTGGTTCCACTGGGTCAACTCGGAGTTCTGTGGTTAACATCCAATAATTTGACAAGCTTCCCAGACTTGTGTCCCCGAAACAAGGCCATGTTCCCCCAATTATGGACCCTTGGTTTGCAGGACAATAAAATTACTTCTCTGAATTCCAGTAATGTCAACTGTCTCACAGAACTCCGATATCTGCATCTTTCAGGGAACATTTTTTCTGATATTTGGAGTGAAACCTTTTCTACCCTGAGCAACTTACAAAGTTTAGACATTTCAAGAAATGCGCGTAATTTAAGTCTCCATGGACATACATTCCAAAACCCGACACTCATGTATTTGAATCTTTCGTCCTCCGAATTGTCATTTGTCGACAAAAAATCATTTCACAACTGTACGTCATTAAAACATCTTGATCTCTCCAATACCACCCAGAAAGAGTCATACATGACATATCTAAATTCTTTAGTGCATGGCTTAACATTAAAAAGCTTCCGTTGTAATATGTGTGGATTCACAACCATGCCAACTTTTGTATCCATGATGCCAAGTCTTGTCAGTCTGGATCTTGGGAAAAATGAAATTGATGATATCCCTGATCATACATTTGACAAAAGCATAAACTTAAGAAATATTTCTCTGTACAGGAATAGGCTTAGAAGCATTAACAGTAACAGTATCAGTCGCTCAATAAGATATGACCTGACATTCGTCAACTTGGCAGAGAACCCTTTTGATTGTAGTTGTGAATTACTCTGGCTCAAGTACTGGATCCTTGATGACAAAAAGATTTTCAGTGGCCAGGAGGTGAACTACACATGTAGCGGTCCGGATAAATACAGAGGGAAGAGGATAGTTGATACGAGTGATTTAACTGATAAGGAATGTCTCTTTAAACACTCTCCATTCATTGCCGTTGTCTGTATAGTATGTTCCGTGTTCGGCTCCTTAATCATTTTGGCTTTGTTGTACAGATGGAGATGGACTATCCGTTACAACTACATGAAAAGACAAACAAGAATGTCTTCCTCTTTAGGCGAACGTACGCCTTTGCTTAACACAGACGCTTACGTTGTGTACTGTGATGAGGATTATGCCTGGGTTAGATATGAAGTGATGCCAAACATGGAGGAGTACGGCTCCCTCCGGCTCATTATCAGGCAACGAGACTTCTTTCAGAAGAACCACGTTGTCAACAGCATTGTGGACAGTCTCAATCGGTGTAAGAAAGTCCTTGTGGTTATATCCAACAGCTTCTGTAAGAACCGAGGGTGTCGGTTTGAGCTGTCCTTGGTTCAGAAACGTTTCGAGGACCAACCTCACTCTCTGGTTGTGGTCCTCCTCGAGGACATCGAAGACAGGTACATGTCCCCGACAATGTCCTTCTTCCTTCAGAGCACGACTGTGTTCACGTGGTCTGCAGACTTAGTCAACATAGACGCGTTCTGGGCGAACCTTCTCGCTGGTCTTCGAGATTGACTCTTCAGATGTTGCCTATACCCTGACAGGCAATGGCTGTTATCAGAGACTGTTCTCGACCAGTTTCTAATTTGGTCCAAAATAAGAGTCTTTAAAACATCACTGAAGCCACGGTTCATGATATCAATGTAAATGTACATTGTGATCAAGACTTGTAAAGTGGTGCGGTGGGGTAGCCTAGTGGTTTAAGCGTCGGCTCGTCACGTCGAAGACCCGGGTTCGATACCCACATGGGTACAATGTGTGAAGCCCATTTTCCGGTGTTCCCCGCATATTGCTAAAAGCGGCGTAAACCCATCATCACTCATTCACTTACTTAGTAGTAGTAAAGTATAAAAATTGTTTGTTACCCGAAAGAACATTCATCCTCATTGAATCCCTTCACTTGTTATCGTAGTTTTAGATATTGGTCATTGTAAATGTTCTCTTTCGAATGAGTGAGTGAGTTGGGTTTAACGCCGCTTTTAACAGTATTCCAGTTATATCACGGCGTATCAGCTTAATGTGGGAGGAAAGCCCGAAGTGATGCAGGTCTCATGGTGCTGACAAACCTAGAAATCATAGGTTTCTGGCGTGCCCAAGGGACGCAACTCTGCACAGCGAATCGCGGCGCCTTAGACGACTGGGCCACCCGTGCCCCCTCTCTTTCGAGTCAAACAGATTTTTCTGCATATATGCCATTGTGTCATTTATCTTGACCAATATATATGTCACCATTTGTATGAATATTAGAGCCGTTAAAAGAACCAAAAGGAATCACTGCGGTTTGTGTGACCGCTTGCTGGTCTAGTGTATAGAAAGTCTGCCCGGAGAGCGGTCGGTCGGTGGTTCGATCCCCATCCGCGTCTTACCATAGACGATAAAAGATGACACTTCTTGTTACCACCAGCCTGGCGATGGTCATGAAGGGGAACAATATACTGCAATCAATATACTGCGTCTCGTTCTTTCCTTGTTGAGTTTTTCCTTGTCTGCATAATACATGTTGTTTATAAGTATGACATTTTTGTAGAGTTTGGTTGGATGTTTGCATGACATATGTTGTTAAAAACTTAATGTATTGTTGTAGATAGGACATTGTTATTGATTTGGTTGGATGTTTGCATGATATATGTTGTTAAAAAATAAATGTACTGTTCTTAATAAGACATCGTAGTTGAGATTGGTTGGATTTTTGCATGACATATGTTGTTAAAAACTAAATGTATTGTTGTAGATAGGACAATGTTGTTGATTTGGTTGGATGTTTGTGTAACAAAGGTTGTTTATAAGTAAATATATTGTTGCAAATTAGACAGTGTTGTTTTCTGTACTCCAATCTGTGAGGCCAGAGAGAGAGAGAGAGAGAGAGAGAGAGAGAGAGAGAGAGAGAGAGAGAGAGAGAGAGAGATTCATCTATAATGAACGGAGGCGACACTTCATTATTTTCCTCTTTACAGATTCGAACGACCGTTGTCAACTTATTTTAAGTGGTTCAGAATGATATTAGATCAAATTCTGTGTACATAGTCTCATGCCACAGCAAATTTAACAGGGGATGTGGGGTAGTCTAGTGGTTAAAGTGTTGGCTCGTCACTCCGAGGACCCGTGTTCGTTTCCCACATGGATACAATATGAAAAACCAAATTCTGGTGATCCCAGCCGTGATATTGCTGGGATATTGTTAAAAGCATTGTAAATCCATACACACTCACACAATAGAGGTAGCGAGGCATTCTCTGACAGAACTATATACATAATTGTAAACATAATCAGCATGCTTACGTTAAATGGAAGACAAGAAAGACCTAAAATCAATCAATCTTAATCATTATTCGTTTACGGGAACAATAAAAGAGTTACAGTTTTATACACTTCCACCAGTAAAGGGAAGTAACTCCGATTGCTGAAATCGTCCATAAAAGTCTCGATCTTCTCGCACAATAAAAGCTATTTATTGAACAGGATGCATAACATTTTGGAGGTATGATATATTTAGATCGTGGTATTTTAGTTGTTGCTTTGCTGTTATGCACTGCATATACTCTTGTTTATAACGTAGTTAAAGATACGGTGCATTGTCTGGCCGTTGCAACCTTGTTATGATTAGGCCAATGATGGTGATAGCTACGATATTGATATTAGTTGATGTTAGTGGTGGGGGCATTAAGATCACGCAGTATCGTTGATATATCTCAATGTACATATATATATATTATCTCAACCATTTCAGGAAGCTTTTTGAGGTAAATACGCTGACTATTTGGTAATTTATAATAGTTTCCAATGAAAAACAATACCCAATCGTATATATAGACGTAACAAACTGGTAACACTTGCTCATGTTGACAAGATAATCGCAGTGGTTGCTTATTATTTGTGTAATTAACGGGAGTAGTGCCATTTACCTGGTGCACTTTTTCAGATCCAATGAGCGCTGTGGGGGGTCGAACGCGCTTCGCCGGCTCACCGGCTTGACTAATTAATGCGTTAATTAGCAAACTCTCTACAACTGGACTACGAGCGATATCACATGTAATCAGTGCTCGTTCCACGGGTCATTAGCACCCCATTAACAAGCATGCGTAATTCAGAAAACAATGAATTGCGCATGCGTGGGACGTCACTGTCCGCTCTCCCATTCATTTATTCTTGAAACCACACCCGCCATTGTTTATGTCAACATGACCGACCAATCGGATTAACTGGATTAATGCTTGAAAAGGTAAGAAATTATGGCTAACCCTTGCCCAAAGCAAGCTAACCCTAAGGACTGAAAAGGGGTGTTGGATCGTAAAGACGTGTAAGTTTCCCTAAGACCTAAAATGGGTGTTGGATTGTGAAGCGAGAATCACCGGAGCGTGAGGTACAGTAACGGTATAGCAAGACAGCGGTAGCACTATAGCGCAGTTATTGACTGAATGGAAGAGTTCGGGCTGTGCCCGGTAAAGTACATTGTTCATTTGTTGCCTCATTAACCCAGGAGGTAAACCACACATAATATCCACATGCAGGTGGGCTACTGGGAGCAACCACTAACCCCTTAGAAATACATCAGACTTATACAACCTTGGAGAAATACACCTGTAGAAAAGTGTGCCACTTCTAGTTAGAATTACTTGTAGTAAGAGGCGACTCTGTTTGTGGTAAAAGGCACCTAAGAGATCAGGTGATCAGGCTTGCTGACTTGGTTGATGCATGTTATCGTATCCCAATGACGTAGGTCAATGCTCATGATGTCAGTCACTGGATTGTCTGTTCCAGACTCAATTATTTACAAACCACCGTCATATAGCTGGAATATTGCTGAGTGGAGCATTAACCAACCAAGAAACAGACATACTTCTACAACCCTGACTGACTAGGCTAAGGCTAAAATAACACCTCACCAAAGCGTCACCGATTATCTGGTGAAAAGAGCACCATTTCATCTGGTCATGCAAAAAGGGCACTTTATGTTGGCAATAATGATAGGATTTGTTGCAGTATATGCCTCAATCATTGTCACCATATTTCTGTCATTGTCACAGCAGTGACAGCACGACTGAAGTCTATCATTGTCACCATATTTCTGTCATTGTCACAGCAGTGACAGCACGACTGAAGTCTATCATTGTCACCATATTTATGTCATTGTCACAGCAGTGACAGCACGACTGAAGTCTATCATTGTCACCATATTTCTATCATTGTCACAGCTGTGACAGCACGACTGAAGTCTATCATTGTCACCATATTTCTGTCATTGTCACAGCAGTGACAGCACGACTGAAGTCTATCATTGTCACCATATTTCTGTCATTGTCACAGCAGTGACAGCACGACTGAAGTCTATCATTGTCACCATATTTCTGTCATTGTCACAGCAGTGACACCATGACTGAAGTCTATCATTGTCACCATATTTCTGTCATTGTCACAGCAGTGACAGCACGACTGAAGTCTATCATTGTCACCATATTTCTGTCATTGTCACAGCAGTGACAGCATGGCTGAAGTCTATCATTGTCACTATACTACTGTCAACACTACTGTTATAAAGCCATTTCTCAGATTCTCTCACTGCATTCTCACCAAACATTTTATGGCTGTCCCCTCTCATATTCATGATATTACACAATTAATGACTTTGCGAAGAATGGTGACCTCACTGCGCACTGTCATTCGTCTTACATTCAGTTTCAGTTTGACGTCACGTTGAGTTACTGTTCATAAAATTTAGTGAAGCTATTTAAAACTTCAAAGTATGGGATGTTTTTCGCATTATGTTTAGTTCCGCCTCCCAATAAGTGTTGGCGAGTAAATTGGAGTAGAGCCTAATTTTTAATGCAAATGTGTTTTAAGGCGATTAACATTTCGCAGTTTCATAACCAATTTGTGTTTGCCTTGTAACCTTTGAGTTTAATTTCATTTATTGCTTATTTTTAAAAACAAAGTGAAATTGAAATAAGATAACAAGGTGCCGTTTTCGCCTAGCAATAGTGGCCAGTTTGGCTTAGGCGAGATTCTGTTTTCGCCAGTTGGTGCCATTTTTGCTTGTTGATGTTTTGCTGAGGATTTAGCTATAAACAAACTGGCTGCACATCCTAAAATATTTGTAAAACCTGAATACCAATCCCATTCTCAATCATCTTAATCATTTACCTTCAAATATACCTCACTCATGAAACTTGGTACAAGCTAACCCCCCAATAAACCCAAACAATCAAAATCAGTGTCAAAAGGTATCCTAGCAGGAACCAAGTGAAATTTTGAGGGTGTCCCTACACTTTAACTATTCAGTCAAGGAATTGTTTCGGGTAAAGTTGCATCCCTGAAAAGTGAACTTTAAATAAGTAGTCCAGCTCGAATAAAAAAGACGGAAGTGTTTGTTTGGTAGAACAACTCATGATGAATGAGAGGATGAGGTAACCGTAGATGTTGTTACCAGTGGTTACCCATGTTACCTGATCATTTACACTGATATTATCAATTTTTTAAAAGACATCCTTCTATTTAGGGATGATGGGGTAGTCTAGTGGTTGAAGTGTTCGCTCACCACACTGAAGACTGTGTTCGATTCCCCACATTTGTACAATGTGTGAAGCCCATTTCTGCTGACCCTTGCTGTGATATTGCTGGAAGATTGCTGAAAGCAGCATATAACTGTACTCACTCATTTAAATACCAAATTTGAGACAAAATCTTCCGTTAATCAGCCAGTGTCCCAATCTCAATAAAATCAGACCTTAGTTCGCGCTACCACTAAACAAAGATCTGAGGACATCCCATTTCAGGTCACGTCAGACCGACCTTGCGCAAACTTTTACCAACCAATGGAATGACCAATCAGAAGGCAGCTTTCTCGTGCTTTACGGCACTAATTTCAAATTGGCAACTACGCTTTGAAACATATTTAGACAAATTCTCGATTACATATTTGAAACCAGAACAAAAGAACATTCTGAAATGCCTAATAGATGGTCTAAATTGTACGGATTCAGTCGTTAAACCCGTAACTATCATCCGGAATATCCCGTGTTAATGTTTTCGAGGTTGTATGATTGAAATCACATTCCGACTATCACTTTCATGATCTGGTAAGTGACGCTCTGATTGGTCGGATGAAAGGTCGTTCTGATGTGAGCCCTAATGGGATGTCTTCAGATCTTTGTTTAGTGGTAGCGAGAACTAAGATCTGATTTTAATGAGATTGCCAGTGTCCTAGAAAATGAGTTCATCGCAAACCCAGCGTTTATGTTGAATACTTTGTGTTTTAGGATGAGGGTGCTTCCTGCTGAGTCCAACTCTGTTCATGGCATGGGCGTGTCTATGGTAAGGAGGTAGGCTGGCAATATGGAGGATAACCAGAGTGACACCACTGACAGCACTGATTCTAACAGTATGGAAGGCACTTCCGTCAACATGAAAGAAACTGACGAAACAGATGGGGCTTGTATCAATTTGGATTTTCCTGACAATGGAGCTAACTTTACTGCCATTATGTCCAATGATGACAGTATTGTGGTGACAAGAAATGATTCTGACTCTTCAGATTCTACGATTAAGACTGAGAAAGTTAATGATTGCGTCTCAAAACCAGCAACTGAACTTGCTGAAGTTGAGCCAAGCGTTGAATCAAAAATTAGCCAAAGACGGAAAGGTACGTCTCGATCAAGTACCCAGCAGATTGAGCGTGTGCTTTTTATGTGTGGTGACTGCAATATATCCTTCCCAGGTTTCAGAGCCTTGCAGAAGCACATGAACATTCATCCCAAGAAAGAGCGCGTATATAAATGTGGTATATGTGCAAAAGTCCTGCATTCTGCTCAGTATCTAAAGATTCATCTAAGGGTCCACACAGGTGAAAAACCCTTCACGTGTGAGATCTGTGATCGTACATTTGGTCACCGATCGAACCTAAAAGCTCATCGGAAGAGCCACACAGGGGGAGACAACCTGGAATGTGATGTATGCGGAAAACATTTCGCTCTCAGTTGGCGCCTAAAGGTTCACAAGAAGATCCATATGGCCGAGAAGGAATTCATCTGTGGAATCTGTGGTAAGGGCTTTGTCGACAAGACAGAGTTGAAGCGGCATATGTGTGTTCATGCAGATAAGACAGATCATCAGTGCGAACTTTGTGGGAAGTATTTCAGTCGAGATCATGCCTTGAAGATGCATCTGAAAATCCACACTGATGAACGACCTTTCCAGTGCAACGTTTGTGAAAAATGGTTTCGGACACCAACCCACCTGAAAACCCATCAGCTTATACACTCCGGTGAGCGCTCGCACAAGTGCCAGTACTGTGGTCGTGCATTCGTCTGTCCGTCACACCTGCAAAGGCATGTGAAGAACCACACTGGGGAGAAGACCCATACATGTTCCGAGTGTGGCCGGCAGTTCACAAGATCAGACCATCTTCAAAGACACATGGTCACACACACGGGGAAACGTGATTTTAAATGTGTGCAATGTGGAAAGGAGTTCATTGACAGATCGGATTTGAATTATCACACAAATAAAGTACATTCAGGTGGAAAAGATTATTCCTGTGATCTTTGTGGTAAAGTTATGTCCGGAGCACAAGCTCTCAAAAAACATGTAGACGCACATTACGGCTCAAAGCAGTTTAAGTGTGACCTCTGTGGGAAAGAGTATGCAGCAGCGGTTTCATTGAAAAATCATATGATTGCCCATACAGGCTTTATCCCATTCAAGTGTGACGTATGTGGGCGTTGTTTTACTGAACCAGCTCGTCTAAATCGCCATATGATAATCCATACCGGGAATACACCATTTAAATGTGGAGTGTGTGGGAAGGGTTGTTCTGACAAGTCAAACCTACAGAAGCACATGATCCTCCACACAGATCAGGTGTTCAGCTGTGCCCTTTGTCAGAGGGAGTTCAAGGGGTCTCACGGCCTGAAGCGACACATGCGGACTGTCCACAAGGAAGAGTACCAAAAACAGATTGAAGAACAAACGGAAAGACTGAAGGTGAAAATAGCTGAGATGGATGAGGACCCCACCCCTGACACCCACACTGAGGTTAACAGGAGCTCTAAAGATGGGACTAATGTGGTGTTGAAGTGTGACATCTGTGGGTTGAGGTGTTTGGGCAGTCTGAATCTCCTACAGCATGTCCAGGAGATACATGCAGCTGCAGCATCCCTGGAAACAGATCCATCAGAGGCAAACTTCCAAACAGAGGAAGATGAGGGTTACGATCCAGACAGCGCTCCTCACGCTTGGGCTTTAGAACCCGAAACATCTGTCCTAGACGATGATCAAGACGATGATGAAGAACAGGCTGTGTAGGGGTGCAGCATTTCTGTTGCAGTGTTTGGTCTGTCTTGGGAACAGTGTTTCAGTGTTTTGTCGGTCTTGGAAACAGACTGTTAACAAAGGAATGGTAGGGCATTCCTGTTTCAGAGATGGTCTCCATGTTGAACAGACTGTTAGGAAGGGAGAGGATAGGTCATTCATGTTACAGAACTATGTCTCCCTGTGGAACAGACTGTTAGCAAGGTTAGGGTAGGGCATTCCTGTTGCAGAGCGGGTCTCCCTGTGGAACAGACTGTTAGGGTAGGGCATTCCTGTTGCAGAGCCCTGTCTCCCTGTGGAACAGACTGTTAGCAAGGTTAGGGTAGGGCATTCCTGTTGCAGAGCGGGTCTCCCTGTGGAACAGGATGTTAGCAAGGTTAGGGTAGGGCATTCCTGTTGCAGAGCCATGTCACCCTGTGGAACAGCGTGTTAGCAAGGTTAGGGTAGGGCATTCCTGTTGCAGAGCGGGTCTCCCTGTGGAACAGGATGTTAGCAAGGTTAGGGTAGGGCATTCCTGTTGCAGAGCCATGTCTCCCTGTGGAACAGACTGTTAGCAAGGTTAGGGTAGGGCATTCCTGTTGCAGAGCCCTGTCTCCCTGTGGAACAGACTGTTAGGGTAGGGCATTCCTGTTGCAGAGCCATGTCTCCCTGTGGAACAGACTGTTAGCAAGGTTAGGGTAGGGCATTCCTGTTGCAGAGCCATGTCTCCCTGTGGAACAGACTGTTAGCAAGGTTAGGGTAGGGCATTCCTGTTGCAGAGCCATGTCTCCCTGTGGAACAGACTGTTAGCAAGGTTAGGGTAGGGCATTCCTGTTGCAGAGCGGGTCTCCCTGTGGAACAAACTGTTAGGAAGGTTAGGGTAGGGCATTCCTGTTGCAGAGCGGGTCTCCCTGTGGAACAGGATGTTAGCGAGGTTAGGGTAGGGCATGCCTGTTGCAGAGCCATGTCTCCCTGTGGAACAGACTGTTAGCGAGGTTAGGGTAGGGCATTCCTGTTGCAGAGCCCTGTCTCCCTGTGGACCAGACTGTTAGGGTAGGGCATTCCTGTTGCAGAGCCATGTCACCCTGTGGAACAGGGTGTTAGCAAGGTTAGGGTAGGGCATTCCTGTTGCAGAGCGGGTCTCCCTGTGGAACAGGATGTTAGCAAGGTTAGGGTAGGGCATTCCTGTTGCAGAGCCCTGTCTCCCTCTGGAACAGACTGTTAAGGTAGGGCATTCCTGTTGCAGAGCCATGTCTCCCTGTGGAACAGACTGTTAGCAAGGTTAGGGTAGGGCATTCCTGTTGCAGAGCGGGTCTCCCTGTGGAACAGGATGTTAGCAAGGTTAGGGTAGGGCATTCCTGTTGCAGAGCGGGTCTCCCTGTGGAACAGACTGTTAGCAAGGTTAGGGTAGGGCATTCCTGTTGCAGAGCCCTGTCTCCCTGTGGAACAGGATGTTAGCAAGGTTAGGGTAGGGCATGCCTGTTGCAGAGCGGGTCTCCCTGTGGAACAGACTGTTAGCAAGGTTAGGGTAGGGCATTCCTGTTGCAGAGCCCTGTCTCCCTGTGGACCAGACTGTTAGGGTAGGGCATTCCTGTTGCAGAGCGGGTCTCCCTGTGGAACAGGATGTTAGGAAGGTTAAGGAAGGGTATTCCTTTTTCAGTGCTGGGCATTCCTTTGTTTTGTAAATATGAAGAAATGCCAAAGAATTTCAGACAGGTTGAAACGCCATCAAAACATTGTCCACTAAATGTAGACATTTTTATAATATTTGGTATTCACTGATCTGCCGATGAATATTGAAGAAGTGCAGAATGAAACTTTTTTGTTTGAAAGAGTCTTTTTTTCTTTTAGAATGTCCTTAACAATTTTTAATTAGAATAAAATAATAAAACCAACTACAGCCAAATCCAGTCTGTGATTCCGCCACTAGTCAGAAGCGCAAGCCTAATCATGCTCTGTTTGATCTAGAAAGCTCAATATGCCCTTGCTTACCCAGTGTATTACAGTGTACATGTGTCACTGCAGAGTTGTGTCCCTTGGGCATGCCAGTAACCTAGGATTTAGGGTTGGAATCCCGGTTAAGTTCGATTATGTTTCAATATTTTCAGCATCATACCCGTGCTTGTGGGTTTCACTAATGTGATAAACGTCTAAGCTGACATGCCGTGATATAACTGGAATACTGTTAAAAGCGGCGTTATACCTCACTCACTCACTCAGTCACTTGAGTTGGTCTGTAACGTCAGTTGATAAGCTAAGACTTAAATTGGGAAAATGCATTATTTTGTCCACAGTTTTGTGATCATTCAGTAACCTTGTTAATCATGGTGAAGTAAACAGCCATTTCTCATATTTATCAGGTCTGTTGCCGGAGAAATACTAGTCACATTTGAAAAAACAAAACAAGTTGGTTATGATCATATTATAACAATAATCTCATCATGCTCATTTGGGCAATGTTGGTAATTTGAGATTGGGCTGTGATTTTAGCGAAAAAATAAATTGTCCCAGAAAATCCTTGGATAAAATTTGTGCTTCAGATTGTTGTCTGCCACTAAAAATACATTGTTGCAAAAGATTTAAAAAACTATATATATTTAGGCTCCTAGTTATTATGCGAAAAATATCTGATTTTGTATCTGTAGCTGAAAACATATCTAGTCTCCTTACAAAATCCCAGATGCCTCCACCACCACCCTGGGGTATCAAACGATGAGTACCTGACAGGATGGTTTGTTTGTGAGGGTTTTGTTTGTTAAGCAGAAAATCAAATGTGAGTTTTTCTTACATGTTATATTTTATTGAAAACCATGTTCAATGTGTTGTTTGTCATAGTTGATGAGTGTAGCCATGGTGACTTGAAATGTATCCTGCAGTGTTGTAGATGTGGCTTTTGTCTCGACAGTTGGGACAAGAATTACACCATTTACGGTATTTCAAACAAATAGCACCTTTATGAAAATGTCTGTGAACAAAATGTATGTTGGTCTGACAGTGCTCACCTTGGCATAAATGATCAGCTGAACATTACCCTTGTGAAGATCCAGGTTAGAATTGGTCTTCACCAACCCATGCTTGTCCCCTGTGAAGATCCAGGTTAGACAAAATGTTAGAATTGGTCTTCACCAACCCATGCTTGTCCCCCGTGAAGATCCAGGTTAGAATTGGTCTTCACCAACCCATGCTTGTCCCATGCTGTGAAGATTCAGGTTAGAATTGGTCTTCAGAAACCCATGCTTGTTGTAGGATGCGACTAACATGATTGGGTGATCAGGCTGTCTGACTTGGTTGATGTAAGTCATTGTATTCCCATTGCTTACATCAATGCTAATGATGTCATTCACTGGATTGTCTGGTCAAGAATTGGATATTTACTGACTGCCGTCACGTAGCAGGAGTATTTTTGAGTGTGGGTCCAGTTTTCAGCCTGATAATCTAAATTTGCTGTGATTCTCATGGTTTGGTTGCAACTGGTTGTGAAGTAATGAAAACCTTTCTCCTCAACATGTTAGAGATAGGCGCCTCTGTTTAAACAATCTCATTATAATCAGATCTTAGTTCTTGCTGTCGCTAAACAAAGATCTGAGGTCATCCCATTATGGGTCACGTCAGAAGGACACGTTCATCCAACCAATCAAAGCGTCGCTTACCAGATCATGAAAGTGACAGTCAGAATGTGTTTTCTAATCATGCAGCCTCAAAAACGTTAACATGGGGTATTCCGAACGACAGTTACGGCCAGTACGACTGATTCCGTCAAAATTATCGTCTATCTCTCGCTTTCGTTGGATAAATATTTGAACGGAGGAGGCGTTGCACAGTACATGCTAAGCACTGCCATACAATCGCAACCATATATTAGACATTCCGGAATGTTCATTTGTTCAGTTTTCAAAATTTTAATCGAGAACTGTGTCAACATATTTTTCAAGCGTAGTCTGAAATGGATGTCGCTAGGTTGAACCGAGTGCCGTAAAGCTCGAGAAAGCTGCTTTTTAATTGGCTGATGTCAACTTCTTCTTTGTCATTTCAGTGGTCGGTCAAAGTTCGTAAAAGGTCGTTCTGACGTGACCCGTAATGGGATGTCCTCAGATCTTTATTTAGCGGCAACAAAGAACATAGATCTGATTTTAATGAGATTGCTGTTTAAAACAATTGACATGCCATGTTTTTCATAGGTCATTTATATCCAAAAATAAACTCATGTTCATGGTCAAATCATATAAGGTAATATAATTTTTTGTGCAGAGTTGCGTCCCTTAGGCAAATGTTTGGCATGCCGGAAACCTATGATCATGGGTTTGAATGCCAGATTTGAGCTGATTATATTTTCAGGTTTGTTCATGGGTTTCACAAAGGGGTAAATGTCTTTAGACCTGCATTAGGGGCACGGGTGGCCCAGTCGTCTAAGGTGCCGTGATTCACTGTGCAGAGTTGCGTCCCTTGGGCACGCCAGAAACCTATGATTGTGGGTTCGAATCCCGGTTCGCCCTGGTTATGTTTCTAGATTTGTCAGCACCATACCCGTGCTCGTGGGTTTCACCGAAGTGGTAAACGTCTGAGACCTGCATCATTTCGGGCTTTCCTCCCACATTAAGCTGACACGCCGTGATATAACTGGAATACTGTTAAAAGCGGCGGCGTAAAACCCAACTCACTCACTTAGACCTGCATTACATCAGTCCATCCTTCCAAATTAATCAGATGCCCTTCATCATGTTCATGTAACTGAAATGCTGTTCAAAGCGATGTTGAACCAAACTCACTCACTCAAGGTGTTCATGACATTGTACACAATGCATGCTTAGGAAATAAACATACAGTGTTTACAATGTAGAGCTAGGTTAACTGTAGATTTAACCATGTTGAATTTGGTACTGAACATGCAGCGCCAGTTTTTCATATGTTCAACTTAGCGTGGTTAAATCTACCGGTAACCTAGCTCTACATTGAAAACACAGGGTGTCCATTCTACCATGACCAAATAAAACGCGTATGACTTGGTATATTGAATGAAGCAGCATTTGTTGATTTCAGTGTTCTGAGTGGGTTGCCGATGAGAATTTATGGAATCACCGACAACAGGCTTTCAACCAAATATGCTCAAGCAGTTTGTTTACACCGTAATTCTTCACTCGAACTTATGACAGGCGCTGAAAAAAGTAGCTCGGCAACTTAAAAAGAAAACTAATCAAGTTTTCATCCTATACTACACATCACCATTATCATGTCACATCACTCATTGTGATGTAAAAGATAGGACGTCACAGTCGTATGTAGAAAAGCGCCAAATGGCAAGCTCTGTTTTCCTCGAACCTTGAAATACATTCTTTTTGTAGATTGTATCATGTTTTCTGCACGATGTGTTTTGTCACCCATCCTTTGAATATTGCAGGAACCACAACTTTACATTTTGTAGCCCATAATTTGCCAACCGAAAATGACTGTAAAAGATGTGCTATTCTCAAAATATAAGCTTCAGCAGTGATATGGACATAAAATTGGATGTTTCAGTCAGAGGGGGATTATTGTGATTTGATACCACTGTGTGACCAATCAGAATCAACTATTTCCCAAATTCAGGGTAGAATAATCATTTATCCGACAATATTTGTGGTTATTGTTTGATATTTGAGTAGAAAATCGGTGACAATGTCTCCATTAAATGTTTGGCTGCCAATGATATGAAACGTTTTTTATTTATGATTCAAATATCAACTTATTATTTAATGGTCCAGTAGCCTGTGAAACATTATTTGATACAATTGGGGGATGGAGGGTATGGGTGGCCTGTCATCTTAGGTGCATTATTTTGCTGTACAGAGTTGTGTCCCTTCTTTGGCGAAAAAAATAATAGTCTTGGTTCTCAGGCACTGCCCACATCATCATAAAGTTCATTGCACATTTTGTTTTTGTTTCCATTTTCAATTTTTTATTGAACATTGTGTTCAAGTATTAGGATTTTCATAATTTTTTTAAAATGGAAATAAAACAAAACGTGGGGCAGACTTTATGATGATGTGGGTGGTGCCTGAGAACCAAGACTATTATTTTTAGCTTTACATCCTTGAATGTCCAATTGTTGTTTTGCATCTAAATCCTTCATTAATATACATTGATACACTTTATGCATGAAAAGTGATTTTTACCAGTTTATTTGTAAAAATTATGAAACAATTGTATTGTGACTGTTTGTGCACATCATTATTTATCAGTTGTCAAGGGCTGAATTTCCTAGTAAGAATCATTAAAGTAGGACTGTTGATGTTCATAAACAGCTGGTGATAACATCAAGATCATGTGTGTTATGATGTTAAAGAAAACACCTGCAGATCTGTTAGAATATAAGTCACTGGTCACTGAAATTTGTATGATGAAAGTTAATTATTATGCTTGGTCTGATTAATGTTTCAAGCTGAAGCTACAGGGTTGTTAGAGCAGATGTTTGTTTTTGTCAAATTTGTACAAATGATTTATATATCTATATCTACATCTATATCTAATATATATATCAATGTGTATTGTTTAATGAAAGTTCTATTCATCGTTTTTTTGAAAATCGAAATGTTTTATCTGAGAGTGACATTAAGAATATGAGGTTTATCTTTTACATGTTTAGGCTTCGGATCCCAGATTCCTGCTAATAATTATTCATTTTTTGTCAGAACTGTATCATTGATTGAGTAAAACATTTAAAACCTCCATCACTGCGGTGTATATAATGTATCTCGATCCTCAACACATACCTAAACACATTACTTGTCCCATTATCCTAAGGGGGCACAGGTGGCCCACTCATCTAAGGCACCGCGATTCACTGTCAAAAGTGGCGTTAAACCCAACTCACTAACTCACAATTATCTTACCGTGGCCTAAGGCCTTTCCTTGTATAGATCCTGAAGTCTAAAATTGTCCTCTGTAAACATGTTTATAATCATGATAATCTAACAGTTTTAGAAACAAAATATAGTATTATATAATTATTATATTACTTTACAAGAACTGCTCAAATGCCTTTAGACTATGATAGATTTTATTATTACTCCGGTCAGTGGATAGTACGGAAGCCTTTTAGGGCCATTTGTTTTTTTAATTTTTTTCGATACTATCTTGAAATTTCAAGATATTAAGTTGAAATTTCAAGATAGAGAAGTTGAAATTTCAAGATACTAAGTTGAAATTTCAAGATAGAGAAGTTGAAATTTCAAGATACTATCTTGAAATTTCAAGATACTAAGTTGAAATTTCAAGATACTATCTTGAAATTTCAAGATAGTATCTTGAAATTTCAACTTCTCTATCTTGAAATTTCAACTTAGTATCTTGAAATTTCAACTTAGTATCTTGAAATTTCAACTTCTCTATCTTGAAATTTCAACTTAGTATCTTGAAATTTCAACTTAGTATCTTGAAATTTCAACTTCTCTATCTTGAAATTTCAACTTAGTATCTTGAAATTTCAACTTAGTATCTTGAAATTTCAACTTCTCTATCTTGAAATTTCAACTTAGTATCTTGAAATTTCAACTTAGTATCTTGAAATTTCAACTTCTCTATCTTGAAATTTCAACTTAGTATCTTGAAATTTCAAGATAGTATCGAAAAAATTAAAAAAACAAATGGCCCTAAAAGGCTTCCGTAGGATAGTGTGCACGCGATTTTCATTCTCAGCTCAATGGGAAGTATGCAACCAAAGCAGCCTTAGGCACTAGAAGGTTGACAATCCCATAATGATATCCTTCTGGGAACAAGGTGCTGCAATTCTTAGTGCAGAGTTGCGTCCCTTGGGCACGTCAGAAACCTGTGATTGTGGGTCTAAATCCTGATTCGCCCCGTTTATGTTTCTGGGTTTGTCAGCACCATACCCATGCTCGTGGGTTTCACCAAAGTGGCAAACATCTAGGACCTGCATCACATCGGGTTTTCCTCCCACGTTCAGCTGACATGCCGTGATATAATTGGAACGCTGTTAAGAGTGGCGTTCAACCCAACTCACTCACTCCACCAGATCATTGGGCAGACAGTTAGCCTAGTAGTTCATGCATCACGACTGAAGACCCAGTTTGGATTTCCCACATGGGTACAATGTGTGAAGCCCATTTCCGCCATGACAAAGCTGGAATATGGCAAAAAATACATACACGCTCTACC